GCGATACCACATGTGTGAGACTTTTCCGCAGCTTGGCCACATACAGAGACCCAACATCCAAGTAGCGCCTCCATGCATTCTAGGAGCATAAAAGGGGCATAAATTACACATCTAATTTCCTGACTCCCTATCACAGTTTTTAAGGCCCTGGAGCACCAGGATGGTAGAAACACCCACAAAATGACCCCATTTTGGAAAGCAAACATCCCAAGGTATGTATCAGGCATAATGAGTTTTTTGAACATGTTATTTTTTTCCACAAGTTTTTAGAAAATGTGGAAAAAAAATGAAAAAGTATTTTTTTTTTTTACACAAAGTTGTCAATTTATAGGATATTTCTTCTATACTCGAAAATACATTTTACTACTCCTCCTGAACATGACAATACCACAATCAAACTTTTTCACAGCTAAAGAAAGGATAAGCAAAAGATTACCTATGGTTTTAGGAGAGCATTGGACCAGGAAGCAGGCAACAGCAACAGGATTCGACCAGGCAGCAGGCAGGAATATAGTGGATAAACAAGCCAGGGTCAGAACAGGCAGCAGGCTGAGATCCAGGTAGAAGGAAGAAACATGGTCCATAAAAAGTCCTAGGTCAGTCCAGGCAGCAGGCAGAGATATGGTCAGCACAGCCAAAATATTGGTCCTAGACAACAGGCAGGAACATGGTCCATAAAAAGTCCTAGGTCTGTACAGGCAGCAAGCAGAGATATGATTAACTTGTGTTGGTTTGTATTGGTCCGTGTAAAGTATTGGTCCAGGCAGCAGGCAGGAACATGGCCCGAAAGTTTTCGGTCAGTACAGGTAGCAAGAGGAGATATGGTCAGCACAGCCAAAGTATTGGTCCAGGCAGCAGACAGAAACATCAGGCTTAGGGCCTTGATCAGGTAGGACTGGTTCACAGGGGTAGAGGCTTCGTCCCACCCAATCTCTTCGAAGCCTCCGGACAACAGACCCTATTCCGGGACTAACAAAACCCGGAGAAAACAAAAAAATGGTTTTTATCTATTCTGAAGCCCCTCACATATGCGAGACCCCTGTGTTATCTTGAATCCCACTACTGCAGTAGCAGGGCAAAAGATCAATCCAAGCAGCAGGCAAAAAACATTGTCGATTTAACAGGCCAAGGTCAGTCCAGGAAAAAGGCATAAACATGGTTGATAATCCAGACGGCAGGCAGAAGCATAGTCAATAAACAAGCCATGGTCAGTTTTGGTGAAAAGCAGAAATGTGGTGTAGAAGCAATTCAGACGGCAAGCAGAGGCATTGTCGGTAAACAGGCCAGGGTCAGTTAAGGTAGAAGGCAGAGGCATGATAAATCATGGCAGTAGGCAAAAGATCAGCACAGATAACAAAAATGGGGAAGTTGTAGGCTGTTGAAAATATGGGGAACTAATATCTTATTATAGTGTGATAACGTTTGAAGCAGTCTTCGAAGCATAGGCCTGGTTGGGAGGGACATTGGGGACAATGAACACTGGTGTCTTTCCTAATTCCCCTTCTGCTGCATACCTTACATGTTTTTCGACGTCTTCTTCCTGTTTCTGATGGTGGAATTCTCTCAGGGAAATGGCGTTCATGCAGTCTGCTGACACAATCGGAGCGAATGGTTTGTGGTGGAGATGCTTGCTGATAGATTAGGGCAGTGATGACATCTTCAGTGTATTTGAAGAGGTGGCTAGGTCTTTCAGTTGATTTTTGATAGATTATATATGAATTATAAATTGCCATGTGGAAAATGTATATTGCAGCTTTTTTGTACCAGTAGAGGGTCTTCCTTGTTGGTAAGTATGGCTGCAGCATGCGATCGTTTAAATCCACCCCCCCCCCATGAATTGATTATAATTGAAGATACACTCTGGCTTTTGGACTTCCCCTCGTCTTCTATGAATGTCCACCTTGATGTCATTATGGATTGTGGACAGGACATAAACATCTCTCCTATCCCTCCATTTCATGGCCAGCACTTCCTCGTTCCTAACACTTGCAGATTCCACTCTTTGTAGAGTCGCTCTAATTAAACTTTGTGGGAAGCCCTTCCGTTTGGTCGGACAGTACCGCAGGCCATTGTTTTTTCAAGGTACAGGTGGCGGAAAAGGGGCAGGCTTGTATAATAATTGTCACGATACATGTGATACCCCTTTTGGAGGAGTGGAAAGGCCAGGTCCCAGACAATTTTGCCACTTATGCCAATGTAGGTTGGGCACCCAGGGGGCTGAAGGTGGGAGTCTTTGCCTTCATACATGCGAAAGGCATGCACATAACCCGTGGCACTTTCACACAGCTTGTTGAGCTTAAGTCCATACCTGGCCCTCTTACTGGGCATGTATTGCTTGATTCCCAGCCGGCCAGTAAAGTGGATAAGAGATTTGTCCACACAGATATTTTGGTCAGGGACATAAACTTCAGAAAATATTCTAGAAAAAAAAATAATTAGGGGGCGAACTTTGTACAGTTTGTCAAAGCCTGGCTGATCTCGGGGAGGGAACTGGGAATTATCACTGAAATGCAGGAAACGCATTATCATATCATAACGTGACCTGGACATTCCGAATGAAAATATGGGAATGTGATGGATGGGGTGGGTGGACCAATATGAATGTAGTACATTTTTTTTGTAAGCCCCATGTTGACCGTAAGGCCCAAAAACAATCTAAGCTCTTCTAGTGTTAGCGGTCTCCACTCGAATGGACGGGCATAACACGAATTGGGGTTGGCTGCAATAAATTGTTGGGCAAATAGGTTGGTTTGATCGACAATTGACTGAAGGAAACTATCAGGGAAAAATAAATTTAAAAAATCAATTGGGGAAAAATTTTCTGTGTTGATCTGCACTCCTGGTTGTGCGGTGAAAGGGTGGATTGTAGCTGATCCTGTGTTGGAAGGCAGCCACAAAGGGTTTGCAAGAGAGTTTGGGAGGAAAGTTTGGGACCTGACTCTTGGGGTCTGGCGTGATATCCCAGTGCTGGTACTGGGCCTGTCATCCTGGGGTCTAGCTCTGTTGGTATTTTCTGACTGACCATTTGTGTGTAATGGCACTTGTATGTTGGCGCTGCTCGTTGTTGCCTGCTCTTCAGAGCGTCTTACTCTTTTTGTAGGGACTACTTCCTCTTCCGATTCGGTCACCGATCCACTGCTTTCTCTTGGCTCGTAATCAAAATCGGAATCGGACGGTGAGAGCTCCCCGCTGCTCTCGTCCGTCATGCTCAGGATTTGGAAAGCCTCCTCACTAGAATAATATTTTTTGGACATGTTGGCAGTATGTCAGGCAACTTTAATGGGTAATGGGTAACTACTGATGGGCTGCAGTGATGGTGGCTTTTATGGGTACTCTGATGACAGGCACACTGACAGGCTGCACAGTTGTATGCTTGACAGGTACGTGGTGATGGGCTGCGGACAGGTACACTGTGATGGACTGATGACAGGTACACTGTGATGGGCTGCTGACAGGTACACTATGATGGGCTGATGACAGGTACACTGTGATGGGCTGGTAATGTGCTGACAGGTACACTCTGATGGGCTGACAGGTACACCGTGATGGGCTGGTGATGCGCTGACAGGTACACTCTGATGGGCTGACAGGTACACCGTGATGGGCTGGTGATGCGCTGACAGGTACACCCTGATGGGCTGACAGGTACACCCTGATGGGCTGACAGGTGGGCTGACAGGTACACTGTGTTGGGCTGACATGTACACTGACAGGTACACTCTGGCAATCTATAATGTGCTGCACTGTACTGAGCTGTAACTCACGGTTCCCTTCTTCTCACACACAGGATCCGTGTGTGAGGAGAAGAAGTGGTGACAACAAGTGACAGCTCTTTGTTTATACTTCTGATCGGCTGTGATAGGACACAGCCGATCGCAGGGTAAACAGCCAATTGTATTGGCTGTTACCCTAATCAGGGAAAGCGCTGTGTCCATGGGACACAGCTGGCAAGATACCGGCTCGCTGCGCCGCCGGGGGGCGCGCCTGGGGGGGCGTGCTTTGGGGGCGTGTCCGGGAGGAAGCCAAGTGACAGCTCCTTGTTGCTACTTTTGATCGGCTGTGATAGGACACAGCCGATCGCAGGGTAAACAGCCAATAGTGTTGGCTGTTACCCTCATCAGTGAAAGCGCTGTGTCCATGGGACACAGCGGACATGAGACCGGCCGGATGCGCGCCGCTGGGGGCGCGCTTTGGGGGGCGTGTCCGGGACAATGCCAAATGGCGTGTACCCGGAAAGCTGCAGCGCTTTTCAAGCCGCCAAACGGCTATTGGCCAAGCAGCTAATGGTTAAATATGGATTTTTCCAAGCCCATAGACTTTAGCTTACACATTAGCCGTGTGTGGGGAATGGTGTCAAATGCTTTTGCAAAATCCAAGTATACCATGTCCACCGCCACCCCTCTGTTCAAGGTTTTGCTCACCTCCTCATAAAAAGAAATCAGATTTGTTTGACAACTTCTGTCTTTAATGAATCCATGCCGTCTGTTGCTTAAAATATTTTTTTCCCAGCAAGAACTCATCTATGTGGTCTTTTATTTAAACTCTCCAGTATCTTCCCACCTATAGAAGTTAAACTAACAGGTCTTTAATTACTTGGTAAAGATTTTGACCCCTTTTTAAATACTGGCACCACATTGGCCTTACGCCAATCCAGTGGTACTATGCAAGTCATTAAAGAGTCCCTAAAAATTAGAAACAATGGCTTTGAAATGACATAGCAAACAAAGCAGAGCAGACAAAGAATTGATTCTTTAACTTCTTGCCGACCGCGCATAGCCGAATGACGGCTTCACCGCGGCCGGCCAGTTCTGAGTGGACGTCATATGACGTCCTCCCAGAACGCGCTCTCCTGCGCGCCCCAGGGGGCACGCACCGGGCGATCTCCGTGATCGCTGTGTCCTACGGACACAGCTGATCACGTGATGTGGTGAAAGGCCGATCCCACCGGCCTTTTACCACGTGATCAGCGGTGTCCAATGACACGCTGATCACAGGGAAATGCAAGTGCCGGTTCTCGGCTGCACTTTCCTCACGCTGTCAGATCGTGAGGAAAGTACTGCCGAGAACCGGCAGTTGTCAGAGCGGGGATCGGCACCGATCATCAGGGCACTGATGATCAGTGCCCTGATGATCGGTGCCCAGCAGTGACACCCGCAAGTTCCGCCCAGCAGTGCGCCCACTAGCCCCGCCCACCCGTTCCCAGCAGTGCCCCCACCTATGCCCAGCAGTGCCCCCACCTGTGCCCAGCAGTGCCCCCACCTGTGCCACTCTGCAGTGCCACCTACCTGTGCCACCTACATGTGCCCAGCAGTGCCACCCACCTGTGCCCACCCACCAGTGCCACCCACCTGTGCCCACCAGTGCCACCCACCTGTGCCCACCCACCAGTGCCACCCACCAGTGCAGCCCAGCAGTGCTGCCAGTCAGTGCCACCAGTCAGTGCCCAGGGGTTGTGCCAGTCAGTGCCGCCAGTCAGTGCCCAGAAGTGATGCCAGTCAGTGCCGTCTATCAGTACCCATCATCAGTGTCACCTATCAGTGCCGCCTATCAGTGCTGCATATCAGTGCCGCCTATCCGTGACCCCTAATTAGTGCTGTCTATCAGTGCCGCCTATCCGTGCCACCTCATTAGTACTGCCTATCAGTGCCCTTTAGTGCTGCCTATCAGTGCCGTGCTATCAGTGCCCATCAGTGCCGCCTCATCAACGCAAATCAGTGAAGGAGAAAAAATACCTGTTTGAAAAATTTTATAAAAGAAACAAATAAACTTTTTTTTTTTTTTTCAAATTTTTTGCACTTTTTTTAATTTATAGCGCAAAAAGTAAAGCGCCCCAGTGGCGATTAAATACCACCAAAAGAAAGCTCTATTTGTGAGAAAAAAATGATCAAAATTTCATATGGGTACAATGTTGCATGACCTCGCAATTGTCAATCAAAGTGCGGCAGCGCTGAAAGCTGAAAATTGGCCTGGTAAGGAAGGGGGTATAAGTGCCTGGTAGGCAAGTGGTTAAGGACCAGGTGCTTTATTCACCTTTATTCTGCCTAAATATTTTTGGATCATATCAATTGTGAGCCAATGTGGATCATCTGGAGCTGTGTCAATACATTATGGACAAAAGCTTCCCCATGCTCCCTTGTATACACAGAGCTGAAGAAGGTATTTAATAAATTTGCCTTCTCTTTGTCCCCAGTCACCCACTCTGATTATTTTGTAAAGGGCCTACATGCTTGGACCGGACCGTTTTACTATTCATATATTTTAAGAATTTTTGGTGTTGGTCCTGCTAGTTTTTTTTTCAATCTGTTGTTAGTTTTCAATTTTTGTGGCCTTTATTCACTTTTTGCATATTCTGTTATATACTTTGTAATATTTAATAAAAGCTCTTCATATTATCTATATCTTTTTTAACTTTGGCCATAAGCCACATAGGTTTGATTTTTAGCCTTTTAAACTTGTTGCCCGTGGGGATATATTTTACAGTGTGTTCACATACAGTGTTTTTGAAGAACTCCCATTTCTGTGTTGTGTTCATTGATGCCAATATTCCCTCCCAGTCTAAGTCTTGGAGAGCAGCTCTCAGCCTTGAAAAATTAGTTCTCTTAAAATTTAGAGTTTTTATTTTTCCCGTATGTGCTTACTGTTCAAAGCTACCAAATGAAATCATGTTATGGTCACTGCTACCCAGATGTTCTTTTATATGAATGTTCGTAATAAGCTCTGCATGGTTTGAGATTACCAGTTTTTTTAGGTTTAAAAATACAAAGAAACAACAAAATGTAAGTCAGAAATGGTACAAATAGAGGTCATTGAGAAGATACAAAATACACAATCTCATAGGTGACAGATATGAATTTGCTTACAAAATCAAAGGCATGCAAGTTCCATTTTGATGTAGGGGTAGAGTTGCTAGATCTTGTTGGAAGAGGTGGGGAAGGAAGGAGTAGGAGGGGAAGGGAGGGGCAAGTGGTGAAGGAAGGGAGGGTAGGCAAGGTTTGTATCGGTTAGTTTTAATTTTTTTTTCAATTCAGCCCACTAGTTGAACAAAAAAAAACACGTAATGTATGTACCCAGCTTTACATTAATTACCAGTGCAAAGGGGCCTTTTCACTTATCATTATTGTAACATTATAGGAAAGGTCTCACACTGTTGTAAAGGGATTCTTTCCAATAACTAGCAATATAATGTTATTTGGACATATTTTTTGACATATACATTATATCTACAGTAATTTTCTATATAGTAACTCACTCAACTTAAAAGCATATTTATACTTTTGCAGCCAAATTGGAACAATGCCTATAGTATATTTGTTACATGTTCCCATTAACAAAACATAACTTATAGAAATATTTAAAAATTACTGGTTACCATTTTAGTGGCTTTTAATTTGCTTAAAAATCCTCACATACTCTCCCTGCTTTGTGCTGTTTCAGAGTGTCTATGGACTAATGTTTAACATAATGAACCCTGCTTGTTTTGGTTAAGAGTTCTTCATTATCAGTTGTGAATTAAATTTGAATACTGAATGTCTTAACAAAGGGTTACAAATTTACAAACCACCCTCCTGAATTGTATGTTAATAAGGTCTGTGTGGAGACAGCCATTGTGAAACACTACAGAAATTCTTAGAACAGCCATGACATCTTCTCCTTTGAAATATCAAAGAGGTAAGACTTTTTTTTTTTTTTCCTAGGCATAGAGGGGTTTTCTAAAATTTGAAGAAAGTGGAAATACACCAAGTCAACTTCCAGTGCCCACTGACAATATGATATGGCTGAAAAATTTGCATCATCTCTTTAATATTCATTCCAACAGACATGGTTCAGCTTCAACAATGCTTTACAGCGCCTTTTCCTTTTGTAACATTGGATATCTAGCTGATTTTCAGGATTCTCATGTAGGCAACACAATTCAAAACGTAAGATAATTTTTTTTAGACATTGTTAGGGAAAGGTTTTCCTGCCATCCCCTAGGAATGCTTCTAATTGAAATACAGGTAGCCTGGGAACAGACTAAATTTGGGTTTCTAGCAGACTTTTCTTCCTGCTTGGTGGGAGATTGTTCTTCATCAGTTCATTCTGTTTATAAGTTACACTTATTAAAAAAGTGAAAAAGTAGTGTTATAACATTATTTGGTGTCAAAAAAGCTAGTCTTAATGTATATGTTTGCATTTTTCTTAGTAGTTACAGTATGTATCTGTGTTGTAAAAGATCTGTGACTTTTTCTGAAAGTTGCCTGTCCACAATCACAGCAGATATTATGTAGGCTAAAGAACTTTAATAAATGCACCCTTTTATTATAACACATTTGAACCAGGACATATATTATATAAATATACATATTCTTCATTGCATAAACAAGGTATGTTATTTGATACAGTACCCCACAAATGAAATAATCTACAAATTAAGATCTTTTGGCGTTGATGACATGGTATATACCTGGATAGGAAACTGGCTACAGGAGTGGGTCAAGAGGGTAGTGATTAATAAAATATTCTCTGAATGGTCTGGAGTTGTGAGTGGGGTGCCCTAGGGCTCTGTTCTAGGACCAATTCTGTTTAACTTGTTCATAAACTATACAGGGGTTGGAAATGAATATCTCAATCTTAGTGTTTGCTGATGATACTACGCGAAGCAAAGAAATTGCTTAAAAACAGGATAAAAGAACTTTATAACAACACTTCGTTAAAATAGAGGGGTGGGAAGCTATATGGCATATACGATTCAGTGTAGGAAAATGTAAAGTAATGCACTTGGGAGTTAAAAATATGCGGGGGGTGTGGCTTGAGCCTGGAGGATGATTTCCGCTTAATCCCCGGAGCTCCGACACACGGAGGAAAGATCATGTGGCACAAGCAGGCAGAGCCGTTGTTGCCATAGGGAAGGCGGATCGGAAAGCCTCCGCCCCATGATCGCGGTCTCCCCACCCCGATGAGCGGTCCCACAAGCCACCGTATCCCGGAGCTATTCCGGTCCCAGGCCCTGGAACACACTGCAGCCTCCTCACATGCTGCCTCCTCCCACTCTACTCACAGAGCATCCCGCTCTCATAGCAGGAGCACAGCTGCAGCTGTCACAGCATGTCTCCCTGCAGGCTTCCCTCTCACTTTTTGGGATCTTAAGGCTGTGGCACTTGACATAAAAGAGACCCTCTCTGCAGCGATTGCTGATCTGCATATTGACATGCAGGCAGTGGCACAAAGGTTGGAAGCAGTAGAAGACAAAATCATCACACAGGATCTTGCCCTACATGATAAGCGCCAATTGGTAGATATGCATGCTACACAGCTACGTGAGATTGATCGTCATATTGAGGACCTGGACAACAGGGGACGGAGCCACAACTTAAGGGTGCATGGCATACCTGAGGCGATCGAGGCGGGTCAATTACCACAAACGATCCTAACCATCTTTAAACGATCTACTTGAAAGACCTCAGGAGTCGCCTATTGAGATTGAACGTCTCCACAGGGCTCTTCGACCCAAAAGCAGGGACACGGAACCCCCGTGAGATGTAATTTGCTACCTAGTGGATTTCCGACTCAAGGAAGAGTTGTTACGCAGAGCGCGAGACAGAAATCGCATTAATTTAAACGGCGCAGAAATTAAATTATTTCAAGATCTTTCACATGTTACCCTTCAACGCAGAAAGGACGTCCCTTGCTAGATCTACTTCACTCCCGTGGCATAGCGTATCGGTGGAAATTTCCGTTTGGTCTTTCAGCTGCACACCTGAGATGAATGGCTATCCTGAGATTCCCGGAAGATGTACAACCATTTTGTGAGACCTTAGACATCCCAACAGTAGATATGCCCAATTGGTTTAGGGAACTCCGCCTCCCACCCCAGACAGGGGATGACCGCATGAAAGCCCTGCCATCAGGACACCCTGGAGGAGCGAGATGCCATAGACCCTCCCCCTGACCTCCGTCTTCACTGATCAGGCGCAGACCCACCATTGGGTATAGTCTACCAGCATCGCTGGCTCATCGCAAGGTGCGTCGCGAATGACGTTTCCACTTTTTTTCTTTTTCTGTTCTCTTCTCTACTTCAGTGCTTCCACCGTATTTTTCCCAGTATAATGTCTGATCATTATCCTGATCCTGTCTCCCGCTATTCCTTGAGCGAAGGCCGTTTGACGTTCCTTTGTCGAGGTTCTGGGGTATGTGTGTCTCATAAAGCTGTCTTAATACTCATACAAACTACTTGTGCTGCTTAGGTTAGTACTAGGTTGGGATACTACACGTCATTCATCTACACCGTGAATACTCCCCATACCTTTGCCCCTCCCATAACCATCTATGCGCTCCCTACAGCATTATGATGCTTTCTCCGTTCCTCCGTGTATTGTTGCTACCTTTTACCTGATCCCAATAC